GGTTAACACTAACCCAGGATTAAAAGTTAACCAAAGTATTAATTTTTCTTACATAAAAATGTTTTTGTACTGCTTACGGTTTGTGTAGTTTAAGCTTAGTCAAGCTCAATACTGAAGGACAAACAGTATAAACAGAAAACCTCACCAAAAAGTTACAAAACTCAAATCAAAGTTCTAGCTAATCCTGGGTTAGGTTAATCGGGCTTTGAACAACCCAGCCCAGAGGAAGATTTTGAATTCAGTAACTGAGTTATTTCCAAACTGGATTACATGTAGGATGTATACTCACTGTATGTACTTGTGTTACGTGTTAATTATACTCGGCTCAAAACTGTTTAAATTACCTGTTAATTTGGATACTATCTATTTAAATTAATAATTAATTCAGCCAGTTTGCAAAATCAACAGGTACATCTGTAAATCACGATGATATTGAACAATCCTTCATGAGGGGGCCTAAAGAGCGCTCCACTAGAGTCTAAATTTTACTCTTCACCCAGACAAAACAGAAGGTAAGGTGAAGATAAAACATTGCATGCATAAAGGTGCAGTTGGTAGATGGGTGTTTGTTTTTAACTTGGGAAACCTTACCAGACAAGGGCACTTACTAAAATTAGGCAGCTTGTTGAATGGAAGGCGAATTATGCATGACAGTGCGTGGCTTACAAAATTATGACAAAACATGCATGGGTCGAAAACGTAACACCGGAAAATACGATGGGCTTGATAAATTTTCATAAACCACCAAGCAAAGTTCTCACCTTATATCTGTAGCATCCCTAGCAGGACCGATATCTGAACGAGTGGTGAAACCTGTCGCACTACAAAAATGAAAACAAGATTAGACTAGATAGTAGAAGTTAGAATAATGATCGTAAAGCAGGGAGGTCATATAAGCTCGTGCAAAAACCTACAGTTGGAAAGATCAAGTTTTTGTCGCAACCTTAATTCGATACTTACCCTCTTCCAAGGCCAGGTACATATCCGAGAGGGGCAGGTACTCCAATAAAAGACTTTTTTTTCTTATTCAATAAAGACATTTTCAGTAACAACCGAGTTTTGCTCTTTCAAAATGGCAGACGTAGCCTCGTAATCGTGACGTCTCGAAAGACAGCCACTGACCAGTATAAACCACGTGTAACGCCGACTCTACTCACGGAAAGTATGAGGAGATCTGGGCGGAAGTAGACTACGCAACGACGGACTAAGCGAAAGAGGTACTCGTAATGTAGGGCGGAAAAATTCCCAAGGCGACAGAAACCAAACCAAACCAAACCAAAACAAAACAGGACATGTGATGTCCCATACCAGCAACGATCCATACTCCACAAAGGCCTTCCATGACATTTTAGCTCAAGATACCCAGACGGTCATGCCCCGGGGTCTCCGAGAATGACGCACAGTCTGAGATTTTAGGAGTCTAAGGACTGACTTTCCGAGACATCATCCCCACCCACGTCCTGCCATTTTAAGACGAGTAGCACTGGGGACGAGAATGGCCATCATCCCGTGCCCACGTCCTGTCCTGTCCTGTTTTTGCTTGGGGTGGAGTGCACATTATACTGCAATGTGCACTTTAGACACAGAAGGGGTGCACACTATAATGGCCTATACGGGGACCCTCTGTCCGAAAGGGGTACCTTTGCAGGCTTCAGGTAAATAATAGGGTAGCGATTTCATAAGCTGAGGTAGTGTTTATGAAATGGTAGAGAAATCTGTCATTTAAGTCCGATGTGAACATGAACTGAATGATTATAAAATACTTTTATTTTCTTTTTTTGGTTAACATCCATTCTGCTTTATATGCTTGATAAATTTAATAAAAGATTGTTACATGCATGCCAGTTAAGATAGTGATAGGACTGAATTTCTGTCTCACTGAACACTAACTTTGCCACTGTAGGAAAAGCTCTATTCATAGACCATAACGTCAAGTTATTTATTAAACTTTTCTTTTGACAAAGAGGCTCTCAAACAGTAGAGCTAAGACACCCAAGCCTTTACTGTTTAATGTTATACCTCAAATCACCCTTGCAGGCACATCAAGAAATGGCTTGTGAACATATCAGCTAGTATAATAGGCACTTTAAAAGTTAAGCAATGAATGAATGAACATTATCTCTTTTTTTTTGCTAATAAATGCTCACGGAATTAAGTTTAATAGCAAACAAAACTCAAGTCAACAGGGTTCGTACCCTTTCCAGAAAAAAATTTCCAGGACTTTTCCACGACTTTTCAAGACTCAGATTGATTTTACCAGGACTCTAAAATTCACATTAACCTTTTCACACCTGAGGTCTCAATGTTAATTCTCCTTACTGTCTGTCATACATTTCATTTTTTTTTACTTGAATTTAACAGATTTCCAGAACTTTCTAGGACCAGTAGCCTTTTTCCAGGACTTTCCAGTCCTGAAAAAAGGACTTTCCAGAACTTTCCAGGTTTTCTAGTACCCGTACCAACCCTGAGTCAAGTGCAACCTCCTACAAAGATGCTATTAGGGCTCAGTGTGAGGAAGGAACATGTGACGAGTCCTTGAGTCAATAAGAGCATCTGTGTGGGAGGCTAAGCCAAGTGGTGCCTCAGTTTAAAAGACTACATGTGTACCACTCGGTATTCAGACAGCCAATGTTCACATATGACCACAACAAAATTTCAGACAAAAGTCAATCCAGAGATAAAAATTAGTTAATGTACTTCAAAGCAGCAGAGGGAATGGCTCTTCAATAATGGGGCTGCCAAGGGCTCTCCTAGTAGATTGTTACTTAACATTAACAGTTCTTATAATAATTGTTTTTAATAGTATATGTATAAACTAAGTGCTGTGCATCTATGATTTGGTAGTCTACTGATGGATACAATGTATATATACAAATGTACATGTATATACAGGAATTAAATTACACTGTCTTGTATACACAGTCTCACAAGTCTACTCCATCCAATGCTACATGAAACTTAACAGAGACCACATTTAACCACACTTAATAGCTTAATTAAGAGGGAAATGGTTACGAAGCCTGACATGGTTCTTTGCTGTATACTTTTGTTTACTTGTTTTTTGGCCTTGACTGTGAACAGAATGCTGTAGGCTCTTCTGTCAGAGGAACTAACCAATAGAAGTTCCGTTTTGGTTACATAACACTTGATCCATGTATGAGTGCAAAACAAGAAGTTGTGCCCAGACATAGACCCTATTCATAAATGATTGCCAATAAAAAATCATTTTGTACATGTAGGTATTAAAATTAGCTCAACTAATTTTAAATTGGCAGCCATTTTTGAATAGGGTCTATGGGCCTTCCAACACAATTCTTGGCATCTTTGTTTGCTCTGTTTACCAGGCTTTGTAGCAAGTTCCCTCTTTTAACAAAGGAATAACTAGATTAATATGCTTTTTATATGCAACAACAATCATTGTTACTTAATAGTAACATGATACTATATGTTCATATATTAATTAATAAATTTATATATTTTATAAACTGGATAACTTTTAAGATGTCAGGTTTTTTTAGCATTGACTCTGGAATTATGTTGAGCAATTAAATCTCGTAACTCTTTGTCAGCATTGCTTACTTGTCCACTATGCTGAAGGGCACCTGCACAAGAGCGACGCTTTTGTTTCACTGTTTGTTTATTGACGGCATCCTTGCCTTTGTTATTTGTAAGAGATGAGTTATTCAATTGAGTCTTTGATTTTGTCATTTCACTTTGTGTGAAATGAGCAACACATGAGCGACGCTTTTGCTTTGCAGCGATTGTGGGCTTCTCCAGTGATGATGTTGATCTTTTACAAGCAGATGAAGATGACTGCTTGTGTGAAGGAGCAGGGCAAAAGTTGGGCTCTGCAGTTCTGATTTTGCGTCCATTTTCATCATACTGGCTCCTTGCAGCAGCAATCTTCTTGTTGTGCTGCTTTAGCAATGCCTCCAGGCTTGTGTCATTGGAGGGCGTCTCTGTTTCACTCCTCAAGGTCCTTTGCCTTTCAATCTCTGTTGATGCAAAAGCCCAGTTAGGTTTCCCTTTGCTATTAGAGTTTTCCGGTATGGCTTCAAGCCCAAGAGGTCTTTGCTTATCTTCTCTTCTAAAGTGATTGTTATGTTGTTCTTGAGTTGCTATTGAATCCATAGCCTGAGTCTCTGTTGCTCGTAACGACTTGCTGGAAACACCACAAGTTGCCTCATTGTAGTCTACCTCCATTTGATCATCACTTAGGTTGCATGTATCTGTTTCACTTTTTAATTGACAAGGCAACCGACTGGGGGTAGAAGAAACAGTTGAGGTACCAACCGGATTTTGTTTCAGATCAGGGATGGCTGGAAGAAGCCTCCTCTTCCTCCCATACTGACCAGCTTGGTTGTAACTTCCACTCGTAGCCTTTGACAGTAATGAGCTTTTAGGCGACAAGGGCGATCCCAAAGAGGACTTCAGACTTCGAACCCGTGCAGGAGATAGTGGAGACTGATAACCAGCCACACGCTGTGGTGAAAAGACAGCAGCATTGCTCAAGCAGCTGTCACTTCCTTCTCTCTTGTTTACATGTGATGCTCCTCCTGTAAAGAAAACTAAGCAAATTAGCATCCATATGCGGAGATAACTCTGTTGCAAATAATGTCACCATACATGGATCACAATTTTTCTGAAGGTTGAAATGCATGTCAAGTCCTTGGACTGTCCACATGAGCTTAAAATCCACAGAATTGGATATTTCTAAACTGCCTGGGATTTCTGAAACACAGTAGTGATCTACAACTAACTGGAAAGGGATTTCCTTGGGAGTAAGGTGTACATCAGGGCAGGAAAGAACCCAGGTCCAATTGCCCGGGGCAAGTAAATTTTGCTCTTGGGCAAGTGAAAATGGAAGGTTGGTGGTCCGGTAGGCAAGTGAAATTTAATAGCCTCAGTAGTCTTGTTAGTTGATAAGGAATAAATAAATAAATATATAAATAAATAAAACACTTTAATAGCTGACACAATGAATGAACATGGCACACCTATTGGGCAAGTAATATTCTAGTGGGGGCAACTGGAAACTGAAGTGTACTGGCTTACTGGGCAACTGTATTTCAAATGTTTTTTTCCTGCCCTGTACGTGGGAGTCTAACTCTCTTACTCTTCATACTCTTTTGAATACATGTATGTACCAGTCAACGGCATTGACAATCTTATAATCACTTGACCATCAATGGATGATGTACATGTACATGTACATTAGTAATCCTACTGTATTTTTCAGCAAAGTGCAATCAGTTCTAAAGGTCTCAGGATACTGTACATTTTGACATACCTGTCTTGTTGAGAGACCCTGGCAAGTTTGTCCATGGTGGTGTAAAACTGCATTTCTTTTTGTGTCTAATCTCATCAGGGGTGTCTCCATCGTCTGTATTGCTTCCTTGTGAATCTTTTTTCCCATCTTTGACACAAGTCTGTCTCTCAGCTTTGTTAGACTTCCCATTTTTCAGCCCCATTCCACTGCTCTCCCTGTTGTTTGCACAATCATGCTGTCCTCGTCGAGTTCGGATTGACTTGATCCCTAATGACTTTTTGCTGCTGTAGTTCTTCTTTGCTTTGTTGGCCTGTGGCTTTGAGCTTGAAGGTGCAGTTTTGGTGACTTGGGTTGTAGTGGTAAGCAGTGGTTTAGTGGTTCCATCGTGAAATGACGGATCTCTTGGTTCATGCAGTGGGTGAGCTCTCTCAAACCATGAATCATTTTGGCTATCAGAAATAGAAAATAATTATATATAATATATAATCAGTCAAATTATTCTTGAACTTTTATTGGTTCTTATTTTTGATCTATTGGAGTCCTGACAGATGCATAGACGATGTCATTAACAATTTTTGTTTCTTTATGTATAAAACAGATAGATTCCATTTTGCCATGCGTCTGTTCAGTAACAGCTCACAGGAGACGTCAAAATGTGGTAAAAAAAAATACTGACACACTCTGCTATCGCCTGGTGTGCCACTTTTTCTTATTACATTTTGACGTTCTTATTTTGTGATCTATCAATGAACAGACACACGGCAACATGAAATCTATTTTTTTTTCTTTTTTTT